GTACATCAGCTCTAAGAGGTAAAGGCAAATGTTCCCTTGCTCGAAAGCCAGTCGAATCCGACTCTAGGGTTGCGGTGCTCATCTCCATTTCAAAGCCGAAGAGCCAGCCCTGTCCGAAGACATTTCCGTGGTCATGTGGCCGGCATGACTAAACACCAAGGCGCACGGAACGCTGTTACCTTCCTACCGAAGTGGTACCTATTTAAAGGTAAAGATAAAGGTTCCCTTGCTCGAAAGCCAGTCGAATCCGACTCTAGGGTTGCGGTGCTCATCTCCGTTTCAAAGCCGAAGAGCCAGCGCTGTCCGAAGACGTTTCCGTGATCATGTGGCCGGCATGACTAAACACCAAGGCGCACGGAACGCTGTTACCTTCCCACCAAAGTGGTACCTATTTATCTACTTGCAGTTTCTTGCTTTCGAACTTCTAGGTTGGCAGGAGCTGGAACTAGAGACGGGGGCTCACTCCATCATGCAGCACCCAGGTCTCGAACTGCTGAACTACTGACCTTCCACAGCCTGCAGTTCAGCGTCTTAACCACTTGAGTCACCACAAGAGGTACCCCAAACAAAACAAAACTAAGCTGGGGAGTAGGGGATGTACAAGAAGCTTGTATTGCCTGTAGAGGGTTTTTTTTTTTTTACACTTCCCCAAAGTGTCCAGGGCTTCAAAGGCTGGGAAGACTGGCTCGCAGTCCCAAAACCAAAGTGTGCCTCACTCTGCCAGCGCCAACAATTTGAGCTTTTGCTCCTCGTGGGAAGGAGTCTATCACCTGTCACCTGTCACTTAAAGCAACAACAGACTGATCACCTTTGTGGGAAAGGCTTCTGAAGTCTGTCCTACGTTTGCAGCCTTCACACATGGCACAAAAACATGACAGAGGCGTAGGGGTACTTTTCAGTATCACACGTGACAATGCCTCAGACTCCCAGCCCTTGAGGGTAGGGATCTATGGGAATCCAAATTGTTGCTGTCTATACAGATTCCCAGAAGCACCACACATGGATCTCTTGTAGAAAGACCACTAAAATCTGGGAGTCCAGAAATAAATCCCAGTGATCAGGGATCAGTCCAGTGAATATTATGCACACCGCTGGTGTAGCATAGCAGTTAAGAGAATGCACTAGAATTTTATCACATGTGGTGGCTATGTGATGTTACAAAGAGGTATTGGAGATGGACTCATGAGATAATGGAAAAAATAACAAGAACTAATACCCCGTTTACTCCAGAGATACTGTGTTATTGAATATATTTCTGAAAGACTTTGATAAAGCAGATAGGTATTTGATCATTCATATGTCAACAGCTGCAAGGATAGTATATGCCAAATATTGGGAAATAATGGAAATACCAACAAAACAAGAGTACGTGAATAAACCATTTGAAACGGTGGAAAATGACAAACTGACACTTGAGATGAGAGCCGGCACAGAATGGACTTTTCAAAAAACTTGGAAGAGATTCTATGATTGGTATAATGTAAACGCAACTGATAGATAAATGTAGTAATTTGAGAATGCAGAAAAGATAAGCTTAGTAAAATAGATAATGAATTCAGAAATTTAATAAGCAGAAGAAGTGATAAAAGCCTCTTGTTATATGTTATATGTTGTTGGGGGTAGTTGGGTGTTGTTTGTATGTCTGTACTATATAATGAAAAAAATAATAAAAGTGTACCCTCGGGTACTTAAAAAAAAGAGAGAGAATGCATTAGAAGTCCAGTTCACATCTCAGCTCCACAAAGAACTCTTCTGGCTGCTTTAGGCAACACATTCTCATCAATGTTCCCTCTAAACTGTGGAGTCTTGTGAGCAGAAATTCTACTTTGTGAGCTACCAGCATTAAAGTTGTGAGTGAGTGATTTGGATACCACAGAAATTAGTTTGCTCTGGAGCCATCTTTCCTGAGCTAAGACAAAAATGTGTAAGCCAGAGGCTAAAAAACTGTGAGCTAGCTAACATCAACTCAGCTTAGAGGGAACACTGATTCTCATTCATGGTCTCAAACCAGAGAAGACAGTAGAAGTTCTGTGGGTGGATCTCCCAGCATTTTAAAAAATTGGTTATCAGGTTTATGTGGACCTAGTTCCAGTTGGGCCTGTTACACAAAGTTCTTATCACTCCCCCCCGCCATGTTGCTTCCATAACCTAACACAATATTGGGAATCTGCTATTTGCTCCACTGGAGAAACAAGCAGTGAGGTGACAGATAACAGGTACCTAGATGACTGCCTCAAAGGGCCAAATATTGCCCTCATGAGTCTACTTCAGGTCAAGATAATGGCAGGGGGGGACACACAGGTTGTTATGCAGATAGATCAAGATGGGTAGCCGTGTTAGTCTGCCTGCAGCAGTATGAGTCCAGTAGCACCTTAAAGACTAACAAAATCTATGGTAGGTTTTTATGCCCCACTTTTCTCGACCTTAAGGAGTCTCAAAGCAGCTTGCAATCACATTCTTTCCCTCTCCCTACAACACACACCACTACACTACGCTGGCTCTCAGCCTCTGTTCTCAGTCTCTTGTAAAAGCAGGGGTCATTTCCTGTGGGAGCACACAGGAGCAGAGCTCCGGCAGTAAGGAGCCCAGGGGGTGGGCACATGCAAGAAGCCCTGCCCCCTGCTCCCAGCAGCCCTCAGTCGGGCCACGAGGAGCAAGAAGCAGACAGGTAAGTTGCAGAGCCCCCCCCCCGCCTGCCTTCAGGTACAAGCTCTCCCTCCTCTGTGAGGGCAGATCTACACGTCCCCCCTCCCCATAGCTAGCAATCCAAAACAATCCAGTGGCACCTTTAAGACCAAATTTTATTCAGTTACAAGCTCTCCCTCCTCTGCTAGGACAAATATGTACGTTTCCCCCAATAAATAGCAATCCAAAACAGTCCAGTGGAGCCTAAATGGTGGGTGTTGCCTTCTGACACACTTCCGGTGATGTCAGGGGGTGTGGCATATGCAAATAAGTTATGCTAATAAGTTATGCTAATGAGCTCCTGCACCTGTTTTTCTACGAAATGACCCCTGCGTAAAAGTATAATTACACTAACCTATCTTACCTGGTTGTAAAGGGTACTGAGGAAATGCACATAAAAAGCATCAAATACTTAGGGCAAATGCTGTACAAGTAGTACAAAAATACACATGCCACACTATCTTTTCCCTCTATGTGCTTATGAAAATGCAATACCCACACTTGCCAAGTGCAGCAAGTTAATGAATCCTGTGCAGGGCTGTGTTGCTGTAAATTCAGAGCTAGAATCCCCAGAATATAGCCAGCTATCACAGCTTGTCTGCTTTCCAAAGTACAGAAAAGTATGGAAGTCAGTGCTACTGTGGGGTAGTGTGTAATCTCAGTTGTAAAAGCCAAGACTCTAGACCAGGTAGGAACAAAACACCATTTCAAATTCACATTCTTGGAAGACTGTCATTTAAACCTGGACCCTGCTGTTAAGACTTAAAGAGAGTGCCAGTTTTGTCTCCACAAATCAACTTGGGTCTACTGGTGACTAACACTAATTCCCTATTTTTACACTATGGCACTCCCTTGGGATGTCAGTGGGCCCACAATGGAGCAAATTTATTTATATATTACATTTATACCCCACCCTCCTGGGGTATAAATGTAAATAAAATTGTTTCAAGGATTGTAGTTTTGCACTCTGAGCGACAGGGAGTTGTCTCAACACATCGATGACACCACTTGCAAGGGTGCTGACACACCAGGTTTTGTAACATCGTGTTCTTAAGATCCATTGTCACATCCCATACTAAGTCTGGGATCTGCAAATTACAATGCACCTTGACAAAAGAGGTTATTTACACCACAGGCCCAAAGCCTGGCCACATCTGCAGTGTATCTCTTGACCTGTCCCTGTTCAATACGCCGCTACTGGATCCTCCCCCCCCCCCCCCCCTCTTCGCTTGGTGCAAGAAGAACAAATCAGTCAATCCTCAAAGAAATCAACCCTGACTGTTCCCTGGAAGGCCAGATAATGAAACTGAAGCTAAAATACTTTGGCCACCAAATGAGAAGGGAGCACTCACTGGAGAAGACCCTGATGCTGGGAAAGATTGAAGGTCAAAGAAGACGGGGACGGCAAAGGATGAGATGGTTAGACAGTGTCATCGATGCAACGAACATGAAGTTGAGCAAACTTCAGAGGATGGCGGAAGACCGGAAGGCCTGGAGGGAGCTGGTCCATGGGGTCGCAAAGAGTCAGACTCGACTGTGCGACTGAACAACAACAACAAATAACTTTCCCCACAATTGCTCTCACCCAATCCATCCTCCAAGGCACTGTTAACAACCTTTAACAAGCTTTTTGTCACTCAGCTGTCAGTTTGGGAGCCTACTTCTTAAGCAAAAAAATAAATAAAAAAACCATAGAAAATCTTGACACACCAGGACAAGAGTCTTGAAACTGAAATTTCAACATTTCTCAGGGGGCCATCTATTGCAAAAGAAAGATAGGCTTTGATCAAAGCCCTGGCTTGAGCGCCAAATAACTGCTTGGCAAACAGGAAGGGCAGGTTGAAGGCTGACGATTTCCTCTCTCACTTAACAACCTCTTAATCACAACAATTATAATTCGGGCCTCGCTGATCTTTGCAGGGGAACCGGACCTCACCCGTTTACCTCTTTGGACACCGAACAAGAACTGCTCCTCACTCCTCGCCCAGCCACAGAACACTCAGAATTAAATCATCACCGTGTAAACTCCCGATGACCCTCCAGATTAGCAGCGCCCCCTCCCCACCGCGCGGCCCCGCCCACCGGAGGAAAAGAGGCCTCCCCCCTACAGCCCCATATTTCAACAGCTCTCTTCCCCCCCCCAAACGTGCTGCCCATTCCCGTTTACTCGGAAGTAAGAGCTTTCAAGCAAGCGTTGCAGGCGACAAGTCTGGGATCTGATTCCGGGAAGGAGCCTTGCGGCGCCCCCCCCCCCCCACCCGCCCTCCCCCCCTCCGCTCGCAACCCCCAGGCAGGGCAGGCCAAGCAGCACTCACCATATTACAAATGGAGGCGATGTTTCTGACAGTCATGAGTCTAAAGGTTGCAGCGATCCCACACCGCCATCTTTATAAGGTGAAAACCGGAACGGTCATGGCTGGAGGCTCGGGGGAGGGCCGGGAGGGCTGGGGGTGGGAGAGGGAGGCGCTCGGGGTGCGGGGAAGGCAGGCAGGCGCGAGGCCGGCTCCTCGGTCCTCCCCAGCCGCGGAGGACCAGAAGGCGGATCCGCTCAGCGGCAGCGCGGCAGCATGGCAACTTCTCCGCCGGGTTTTCCGCAGGCGAGCTGAGCAGAGAGATCTGGGACGGCTCTCGGCGGCGGCGGCGCCTGTCTGTTCCCAGAGGCCGGGACTAATCTCAGTCTCCCCCTTCTCCCTCCTCTCCCCCTTCCCCCTCTCCGTCTTCCTCCTCCTTCCCCCGCGGCGGGTGCTGCTGCTGCTGCTGCTGCTGCTCTTCCCTGCTCTCCATTGCAGTGCAGCGCCCGGTGATCAACTTTGACAGCGGCAGGGGAAGGGAAGGTCAGCGGCGGCGAGTGGCGCGGCCGCCGACCAACCGCCGGGGCGCAGCTCGGGGCGGGGGCTGGCGGCGCGGCCAATGCGGAGGCGCGGAAGGGGAGAGGCGCGACCTGCCTCCTCAGGACCCGCCCTCGGGATCAAGCTGCTGCGCCCAAGTCCGAGGCTGTGGTGGCGCACGCTCAATTGGCCACTTCCGATCCACTTTCGGTGCACTTTCCAGCTCGATTTTACTGTTGTGTGAACTGGCAAAGGTAAAGGTTCCCTTGGGAAGTGCTCTGGAAGTGGATGATTTAGTGTGTGTGGCCGCGGCCTCAGTTCCTCTTGCAGGTGGTGGGCGAGGGCGTCTTTCTTTCCAGCGAGGGAGGGGCAGGTGGATCCTAATTGACCGCCACTAAGTGGTTCCTCCGGAGTGTTTTCCGCTTCCACACTCTAGAATGCAACCTGTCGCATCCACAGATATTCCTTGTTTGATGGCTGCAGCCTGCAAGTGACCTGCACGTGTGAATGAACCACCAGATAGAACAGCACACAAATTGGATGCTAACTACCGACCTTCCACAGCCTGCAGAAACCTAGTTGGAAAGTGCTCTGAAAGTGGATGCTTTAGTGTGTGTGACCGCGGCCTCAGTTCCTCTTGCAGGTGGTGGGCGAGGGCGTCTTTCCTTCCAGCGAGGGAGGGGCAGGCGTGTCACCCTGTGGATCCTAATTGACCTCCACTAAGTGGCTCCTCCGGAGTGTTTTCCGCTCCCACACTCTAGAATGCAACCTTTCACATCCACAGATATTCCTTGTTTGGTGGCTGCAGCCGGCGAGTGACCTGCACGTGTGAATGAACCACCACAGATATAACAGCACAGATTGGATGCTTTTTGTCATCGCACAGTACCAGGCTTTGTAGTAAGAGAGCCCGCAGGGTGTAGTGTGGTTAAGAGCGGCAGACTCTTAATCTGGAGAACCGGGCTTGATTCTGCCAGGGCCGGCTCACTCACTAGGCGAACTAGGCGATCGCCTAGAGCGGGACGGCCCGTAGGGGCACCAAACTGCACCCGGCCCCGCATTCTGGAAGTTTCTTGATTATTTGTGACCCACAATGTCTATTTTTCCCTCCAGCATTCAGTGCTCTCGGCCAAAAAAACCAACAACCCCGGTCCAGCCTGCTTAGGGATCCTCGCCTAGGGTGCAAAATAAGCTGGAGCCAGCCCTGGATTCTGCACTCCTCCCTGTGAAGCCACCTGGATGACCTTGCATCAGTCATAGCTCTCAGTGCTCTCGGCGGTCCAGCCCGCTAAAAGAGTCAGAATTTAAGACTGCCAGACAGTCTTCAGATCTCCTGGCTATACCACACACAAGGCCATATGGATAATTATCACCAGGCTTTGCCCTAAATTGGTCTGCCCTGCCTGGTGCCAGTCAAGTGAAGGGTGATCAAGTGATGTGTCTGCATGGGTGACCAGGCCTTTGTTTCAGGGAAACTGAGGTATTGCCTACTGTGAAGGAATCTAAGCAGTACCTTAGAAACCTGCCCATAGTATTACACATCCTCTGAGAGAGCTCTCTTGAGAACTACCCTTGAGAGAACAGCTCTGAGAGAACTTGTGACTGACCCAAGGTCACACCAGCAGCTGCATGTGGAGGCGTGGGGAATCAAACCCGATTCTCACAGAGTAGAGTCTGCACTCCTAACCACTGGAAGGAACTTGATCCCCCCTCCCCTCCACTGCCAATTATGCCCCTGAAACTCAGTGGCACAGATTAAGTCCTGGTTGTGTCTACTGATGCCAGGGAATTATGGGCTGCCTTCACAAGTGGAATAATAATAATTGCATTATTACTGTCTCCTGCTGGGCCCTGCTTTAGCTGGAGTCAGTAACCTCCAGTTGGGTCCTGGAGCTCTCCCAGAATTACAAGTGATTGTCAGACTATAGAGATCCTTTCCCATGGAGAAAAAGGCAGTTTTGGAGAGTGGCCTCCATGCCCTTATACCCCCTGCTGAGGCCCCTCCCCAGGCTCCACCCCCAAATCTCCAGGAATTTCCCAACATGGAGTTGGATGCTCTGCTTAAACAAAGAGATGGTCCCATCTCCGTTTCATCTTTAACTAGGGGTGGGGAGAGAATAAATGGTTTGCCAAAGATGGCAAGGGTTTTTTTTGCTATCCAGCCCTCCTGTTAAATAAAGAAATGTTTCCATCTCCATTTAATATTCACCTTGGTACGTTGGGGGTGGGGGGGATGTGTTCTTTCCATACTCAAAGCATTTATATGGTTTCTCCCCTGTATGAATTTTTTCATGTTCAGCAAGGCTTTTATCATGACTGCCTTTTCCCCTACAATCCATGCATTTAAGGCAGGTTCTCCCTCTCTAACCAGGCTAAGGGACCAATATGACAGCTATATTTTCCCTCCTTCTTCTCTAATTGGTTAGTTTTACAAACCCTGAATTTTCACAATCGTTTAGCTTTCTAATAAATATACAGACCTTAAATTCATTCTAATACATATACTTTTCTATTTACAATTACATATATATAGGCTGCGGTCACACGGAGCGTTAGCCACGCTACAGAGATGGAAGATAGGCGGATTTTCCGGGCACGATAACACCACCACATCTGGGAAGCGTAGAGCTCCCGTGGCGAACCCGAGGCTTCCCGCCGAAGATGCAGGGTAAAAAACTAGTACCTCCGAGGTAGTTCCCCCCAGGGCAAACAGCCCCGCCCCCCCCCCCCCCGCCGCGATATCCGGCTCGTGTGACCGGGGCCATACATGGTTTTTTAAAATTTCTTCACAGGTATTTTAAATAAAAATCAATTTAAATACACCAAGATCAGCAATTGCACACCTACAGTTAGTCTTACAACATGACTGTCTGGGTTGAAGTCCTGCTTTCACAGATTGCAGCCGGGCATGCTGACTTGTGGTCCCACTACACTGACTGCTGCTCTGCAGTGTGGCCGCATCTTGGGATCCTGTGTTCCCCTCATCACCGAAGTCCAAATTGCTGAAGTAGAAACGAGTCAGTTTCGTTCAGTCAAGAGTTCTTCCTGTTCACTTGGTCACTTGCCCATTCTGTTACTTATATTTCCAGCCGACATTCTCATTCTTGCTCTCATTCTCACACAACACAACACCCCCTTTATTTAGTGTGTATAACATTCTCCCTGAACCTATATTTAATAAATGTACACAGTGGAGGGAGAGGAAGAACCATGCAAATGATTTTGAGGGGACTAAAGTCCTGGATGACTCTATGCAGTCAGTATGAGCCCTTCTCAGTGCTGGGCGCCTCTCCTCCACCATAGACACACACACACACACACACCCTGAAGCAGTGGCACTATTGCTTTGTTTATCATACCAGCAGTAGGGGTGTGCAGGTAAAAGAAATAATCATTTTCTGTATTGTGAAGGCAGCAAGAGCATGCTTATTGTTACTGTTAAATACCAGGAGTATTGCAAATACCAGGAGTATGGCAAATACCAGGAGTATTGTAATTGTATCAGAAGGTTGTTCCAGAAATATCAGAACAATACTCCTGCTATTTAATAAAAAAGCATGCCCTTTCCACTTTGCCAAATGGAATTATTTAGGATGGCACTGACAGGTATGATTCTATTCTGTACAGTGGGTATAACTCACAAAAAGGACAATTCTGTGAGTCTACCCTGGGCTCAAGAAAAGGTTACTGTTATTACAAAGAGTTGCTGTCCAAATCTTTTAATATTGATGCATATAACGTATTTATACCCTGCTTTGTCTAACACAGTGGGCCGTGGTGGCTCAGAGGTTAAGATGCTGAGCTGCAGACTGGAAGGTCTGTAGTTCGGCAGTTTGAGACCCAACTACCCTGTGGCAGAGTGAGCTCCCATCTCTGGCCCCAGCTCCTGCCAACCTAGCAGTTTGAAAACAAGAAATTGCAAGTAGATAAATGGGTACCACTTCAGAGGGAAGGAAACAGCATTCGGTGCGCTTTGGCGTTTACTCATGTCGGCCACATGATCATGGAGAAGTCTTTGGACAGCTCTGACTCTTTGGCTTGGAAACGGAGATGAGCACTGCCCCCTAGGGCCGGATTTGACTGTCTTTCGAGCAAGGGAAACCGTTACCCCTTACTTGTCTAACACAGCAGCTTACAAGCAAAAGAGAGAATAAATGATAACTGATGAAAAATCAGTGAGTCATCTTGTCAAATTTCTTGGTGCCATCATTCTCAAAATTTTCAGGAATTAACTATCTATGGAAACTAATTCTAATAGAGGAGGCAAGAACTGACCATGCTAGTCTTGATGGTGCCCACAGTGGACACTGCTGCTATTTTTAAAAAATGCCGTGAGCAGTGTGGTAGGCTTGGGTGCTTGTCTCCCTCCTCGGTGAGCCTTTTCAAGCGTCAAAATATCCGCAGTGTATGCACATGTGCATGGCTATTTTGGCCCTTGAAAAGGCATGGGGGGGGGAAAGACAAGAGCACCTCAGCGCACTGCAGGCACATTCAGGATCAAGCTCATTAAGCATTTTTATATCACTGACCTGTCCAGTTTCGCAGTCAGCAGGGCCAGAACAGACGTGATAAAGATCACAGTTCATTCAAGACAAAGAAAGTGTAAGTGTGTGGAATCCTGATTGGGGTTGTGCAGGGGGGGAGAGGCGATTTAACTCTTCAACTTGTGCTTGGTTTTACTAATGAAAGTTGGGGCTCCCCAGCACAGTAATTAGCACTTCAAAAGGGGCGGGGGAGGGGGACTGTGTTTTTAAGCCACAGCAGACACATTTGAGTAATCCTGAAGAGGCGATCCTGTAATCACGGATATGAGGAACAGAAATTACTAGGGAAAGTTCTGTGCAACTCAATCCTATGCATGCTTACTCTCAGGGGGTTTTTTGTAGAAAAGGCCCAGCAGGAACTCGTTAGCATAATAGGCCATGACCAAGCCATGCCCAAAAGCAGAAACTCATTAGCATAATAGGCCACACCCCTGACA